CTGAGCCACCCAGGCGCCCCCAAAAAAATTTTTTTTTTATTTCAACGTGTATACATATTTTGGTTGCAGAGATGTACAATACAGTAATCAATAAAAGACTTAAGCAAAATATATGTTACACTGATCAGATTTTTGAGGGGAAAGTGGAATGGAAATGCAAGTACAAGGAGAAAAAGAGACAATGTAACATTTTTTATTGATAAAGAAGAGCTTCTTCATGTATTTTTAAGATGGGTGATGGTAAGCATCACATCACCATGGGATTTGGGTCTTCTTCAATACATTTAAAAGGGTAGTAACACAGTTTTACGTGAAAATGTCAAGATTTATAGAATAGTAGAAATGACATCCATTCTCTACATTTTAAGTTTTAAACTGATGGCGAAAAATATTAGATGTCACCTTAAAAATGTGCAAGGAGCTACATAGTTATATATTCTTTTAGGAATAGAGAGGCAAAAAATTTGAAGACTACTACCATGAAGGCAGAAAGGAATGGAAAGGTAGAATGCGGCCTGATTACAGACATTCTTGGAAACCAGGTAGAGTTTAGACTTGAGGTGGCAAGCCAACCCCTAAGCTTCGGTCTTCCTTACCTGTAAATGGGGTCCATTCCAGGCTTTTGAATATTCTATGACCGGCCACAGGGAGGCGCTGATGGTTGAGGTATGAGATACTGAAAGGCGGATGACCCTGAGGCCTGAATACCGTCCACATTGGAACTGGCACAAAAGGCTCTCAGTCTTGAGGGACAGACTAGGGGCAGGAGAAGATATTTTCCAGTCTTTCATTCCAGGATTAAAAAGTAACTCCACTTTCCTTTCCAACATCCCGGACAAAGGAGAGCGTATCCAATCTCTGATGCCCTCGGAGATCCTCATCACCTCTGGAGACCACGTGGAGAGCACAGCCATTGTGGTCCCAAGTCATCCTGGTACGGCTTCTGTGTGAGGAGGAGTGGGGATGTAGGGCAACTGGCCGGAGTGCAACAGCCTTGTTGCGGATTGTGGCCAGGATCTGCAAGATGCCTTCTCCTCCAGCACAGTGTGTCTATCCAGGCTGGAGAGGGGCCCGCTGAGAGTTGCCCCTCTGGCCCCTCTCATAGGTGAGATGGGGAGGAAAAGAAATACCAAGGAGGGTGATTTTAGGAGGCTAAGTGAGCCTCCCACCAACTGGCTAGGGCCTGAAATAGCTGTGGTGGAGGCTGGCGTCTAATTCAAAGCAGATCTAGCCTTATTCCACACTGTAAGTTATTGTTCAGTTATACTGTGATTGGGCATCAGAACAGGTTTTGGTACCTGAGCTCTCTGGCTGGTCTGGAAAAGGTTACAGAGGCTTGGCAGGGACCAACTTTTCCCCCTTTAACCTGTGCCTGTGGACAAATCTGGTCAAAATGAAGATTCAAGGGGCACCTGCGTGGCTCAGTCAGTTAATTAAGCATCTGCCTTTGGCTCAGGTCATGATCTCAGTGTCCTGGGATCAAGCCCCACATCGGGCTCCCTGCTCAGTGGTGCTCCTTCTCCCTCTGTGATCTCTCTCGCTCTCACTCTCAAACAAAACAAAACAACCTAAAAAAAAAAAAGAAGAAGAAGATTCAAGAAACAGAAACTGACTGGTTTAAGTAAAAAAAAAAAAAAAAGGATTTTTGTTAATAGAGTATAGAAGAATTCCTTAAATAATTGGGAGGATGAGAAAGCCAGCTCGGAGACTGTACAGTCAGGAACAATACCTCAAATTACGGCACATGACAGTTTTTATGAAGACCCCCAGCTGCTTCGTCTGGGTACAGATGCTGCTGATTCCATGGCTAATATCACATGCTGATTCCATGGCTAATACCACACCGCTCTTACAACTGCTGCTTCTTACAGCTAGAAATTAGGTGGAGCAGCTGCTCTGTCACTTACCCAAATGGATTCCATGTGCTTCCCAGGTTTTCCTCTCCCCAGCTTCCGGTGGAGCCTCGGTTGTAGGGCTCTGCCCTAGCTGTAAAGGGGGCTGGAAGTAAATGCCTGGCATTCTGGAGCTTCTACAGTGGAGGAAGAGTCTAAAGTGGGAGATCCCCGCCCCCAAAAAAATTTTTTTTTTATTTCAACGTTTCTGAGACTAGCCATCTGGTGGCAAAGGGAGCCATCATTGTTTTATACGAGGAACTGGGGATGTTGTAGCTTGAAGAAGAAAAGATGCAGGGGAATGGGATCAAACATCAGAAGGTCTTACGGGGCGCCTGGGTGGCTCAGTCGTTAAGCATCTGCCTTCGGCTCAGGTCATGGTCCCAGGGTCCTGGGATCGAGCCCCGCATCGGGCTCCCTGCTCTGTGGGAAGCCTGCTTCTCCCTCTCCCACTCCCCCTGCTTGGGTTCCCTTTCTCCCTGTCTTTCTCTGTCAAATAAATAAATAAAAACCTTAAAAAAAAATCAGAAGGTCTCTGATACGGAAAACAACCTTAGTTTACCTCCAAGGGAGAGGGCTGACACTATTGGATAGGAACAGTAGAGGATATAAATTTCTGCTTAATATAAGGAAGATGTTTCCTTTTTCTTAAGAAAAAAAACCCCAACCAACCACGTTTCCATTATGAAAAAGAAATGCTCAGAATAAAAATGTAGAAAGATAATAACTCCTAGAAACACACCCCAAAGACAACTGCTGACAACATGTTAGTGTGTTTCCTTTCAGTTTTTTCCTATCCAGCTTTGTTTCCCAAACAGTATACATAGCTATATATGCTATATATATATCATCACATTTTCCCACGTATATCACATGATAATATTCCCCCCCCCTTTTTTTTTTTACCAACTTTACAGAGCATAACATTCCATCAGGAGCATACAACATTATTTACTAAACATTTCTCTGTTGTTGACAATGACCTTGGTTCCAGGTTTTTGTTTTTTAAATAATATTGCAATGAGCAATGGAATTATGTGGTCTCAATATTAATACATACTTATTAAATATAATATTCTCTATATATCTTTTTAATATAAAAATGAAATGAGGTGAAAATGTAATATCTTGAGAGTACTCCCAGAATTTCTCTTAGGAAGGGAGCTATTTTTATTATGAGAAATAAGCCTCTTAGGGGTAGAAAGTAAGATCTTTAGGGCATGAGTGTTGGCAGGAACCCTAGCAACAAAGAATAGGGTTAAGTTGTCTCTATCTGCCTGGAAATCAGGAAGAATTTGTTTTTCTCCAGAGAGGGTGGGACAGAGGAGAGATTGGTGGGGCAGGGAGGAGAGGTAGTGATTCGGGAGAAGGCAAGACCCTAAGAAGGTGAAGGGCCAGTTAGAAAACCTCAAATGGATTGTTCAGAAAAGACCCTAAGAATGTCTGGTGTGTGAGTCTAAACTGTTTGCGATGCATCATGTGATCACGTGACCCTGCTCCAGGGCCCAAAGCATCATAATGTCCTCTCTGCCCATGAAAGTTTTGTGTGGGAAGACGGGTGGGCAATTCTCAGGAAGGGCTGGGTTTCATCTCTACATTTTTAAACTGTGGCACTACAACAGCCTGGCAGAAACAAGAGCCTGGAGGCAGCGAGATTTAGAAGAACACAAATCCCCAGAAATTTGCAGAAATCTAGGGAAGGCTTTGACCTCCACAATTCACTCTTACTTCAATCTCGAAGGGCAAGGAGGTTGACTTCTGAATTACAAAAGTAATGCACATTTATTTCAAAAAGTGCAAAAAAAGAGAGAGAGAGAAGCAGGGGAAAAAAATCACTCATGGTTCTATGAGGGTGTGGCCTGAGGAATGTATTCCAGAGGGAAGAGGTAGCCATAACTTTAAAGACGGTGTTGAGAAAGCAGTTACCCATTGCTCATATACCTGTGAGTCAAGTCTTGTTCCTCGCCAGACGACAAACCCAACTTCTTCCATACTACCTACTAGCTGCTAGGTATCTTTTGATGGTATATCTGAAGGGACAGGTCTCGAAAAACTAGGTGGGGAAGCAAGAGCAGAATTTGCTACAACAGTAAGGAGGATGCTCCCCATTTAGGTGGGCAAGAATATTACATAAGTACATAGGAAGATAGGTAAAAACTCCATAACCATAAATTTCTAGTTGCAGAAGCCTGTGGAGGGAGGAAATCCTTTTCATTAAAATTATAAGCAGCAATGACTCCTCCAGGGGTGTCTGGAGACCCATGTTCTAACCCCTGCCTTGCTTCTCACTGCAAGTCACTCAGCTTCTCTGGGACTGTTTCTTCACTGGAAGGACGTGGAGGCTGTATGAGACGACCTCTAAATTCCCTTCCAGCTTTAAATTCCCTTTTGTGATACTTGCCGAACTTGTTTTACTGGTCCTGGAACATCCCCGCTCCTGCTCCTCCCTCAGCTGCCGCGCCCGGAGCCTGCACCAGAGGGCGCTGCAGGCGGGCCGTGGGGAGCTTGCGGTGGGCGGAGCGCAGAATCAGGGGAGACTCCAGGACGCGCGGTGATTGGCTCCGGCCGGGGCGGAAGGGGGCGTGGGGGGCCCCCTCCCGAGCTGCGCGGTGACGTCAGGATGGTGGGGGCGGGTCCGGGCCGCGCAGCGTGTGACGCCGCGATCGCGGCGGAGCTGGGGATTAATGGGAAAAGTTTTGGCAGGCTTCGGAGGATCCTGCGGAGCTTGCGGGACGGCAGCGGCGGCGCGGGAGGCGGCCAGGACAGGTCAGTCCGGGTCGAGGGAAGCGGTAGGCAAGCGGCGGGCCCGGGCTGAGGCGGCCAGTGGGGCCGGGGCGCGAGGCCCGGCGGGGAGTGGGATGGGGGGAGCGGCAGGGGTCTGCGGGCCGAGGTGCTGCGGCTTTCCGACACCCCGGCCCCGGCCCTGGCCGGTCCGCGGTGGTTTGTGGCTCTCCTGGCGCCCCTGAGCCCCTGGCCTTTTGGTCCCCCATCACTGAGCCCGAACCGCGGGCCTCCCCCACCCGACTCTGTGCCCCCTCTTGGGCCTAGTGGTTCCGTCTCCTCCCACTTCTGTGTCCGAGAGCCGGGTCTGAGGCTCGGGGTCCTCTCTCATTCCCTACGGTTGCCTCTGACCTCTTCCTTCATCCCTTCACTGGTGTCTCCGAAGCCATTGCCCTCTCTACCCAGGCTCTTCTCGGGGGATCTTCTCTGCTCCTCTCGTTATCTTTAGCTCGTGCCTTCGGCCTCCCATCCTTGCCCTCTCTGTCTTTGCTCTCTTTTCCCATCCCTGTCCCCTCCTTCCCCCGTTGCCTGGCCCCTCTCAGGATACGGTTTCCGGTCATCTTCGTGGTGTCATTAGGCTTTTTCAGCCCTTTGCCAGCAATCCCTGTCTACCTAAGTCTGGCTACCCTCAGAGGCCCTATTTTTGCCCGTCTCTCTAATTTCCTTCTGATTAAGCCCTGTCCCCTGTATTCCTGTCATCTACCTCCCATTCCCTCCCAGTCCCTTGCCTCTCCTTCAGGGAGAAGCCTTAGCTCCACACACTACTCTGCTTTCCCTTGACTTGCTATTGAGATACCCCTGGGGGGGAGGGGTGTCCATCCCCTGATCGAAGTAAGGGCTGAGGTAAGTAACAGGCGTGTCTTTGTGGGAGTATTTACTTGGGTGTTGCATCAGGAATGGTGTCCAATTTGTAGACCATTCTTATAATCTCAGCTTTAATACTTCCCCTTTATGGGTTTGTTGACTTCCAGGAACCCTTGGGGAGAGAGCAGCCGCTGACTTGGGTGTGTGCCAGGGGTAGCTGGAGGCCTCATCCAACTCTTTTCCCCTTCCAGGAAACAGGGCTCTGTGTCTTTCCACTCTGGATCTACCAAGCACAGTTACACCATGATACTCCGGGTTATCTGTGCCCTCACTCCTACCCTTCACCCTGTGCCCCGTCCCCAAACGCTAAGAGGAGTGGCCAGAAGTTGTGCCCCAGAGAATGCCTTAAACTTTTTCCTCTGTACTGGTTCCAAGACATTTTTTTCCTACTTGAGTTTTGAAATAGATTGCTAGCCCGATAGCCCTGAGGCTAGCAGGCATCTGTCCTATTTATTGGTCACCGCGGAACCAGCTTCTGATTCTCACTTGTGCATCTCTGATCCACTGAATGTTAGAGCCTCTGATGTAAGTCACTGAGCCGGTTCTCTCGAAGGTTCTTCTCCCTCCCATTTTCCTTGAGAGCTTAATTTCCTGTGGATCCAAGAGGGAGGCTGACCCTAAGTTCTGGTCCCTTTGCCCTGTTGTCAGGTGGATATCTGCCTGGGGAGGTGGTGGGGCTGCATTACATAGATGGTGTCAGTGTCTCTGTCCAGTCACAAAGATACCCTCTCTGGGGCCAGAAAGCCTGCCGCCTTCCTGGTGTATCTGGGGGTTTAACCTTCTTGTCAGGCAAAACGTTCTTTTCAGATGCCTTCAATTTGAGCCCCTTTATTTGGCATTGGTGCCCTGGAGAGATCTTTAGGAAATAACATGATCCTCTGTTTCTGCCCAGTCTGATCTTGGAGGATTCTGAAAGCATGACCCACTCTCACGTTTAGAAATGAAGGCCTGTTGTTTCACCTGGCTCCAGGTTTCTAGGTCTTCTCTTTTGAGGATCGTGCTCTCTGTCTTTGAGCCAGAATTGGACACAGAATTGGCAACTTTCAGGAGCTGTGGTGGAGAGCCAAGTGAACAAGCTTAGACCAGACTTTAAAGTTTTGGAATCCTCTTGTGCACTGACCCTTTTCTGTGAAAGAAATAGGACTGTGGGCATCTGAGCCAGTCCCCACTCCATTGACCCCTGAGCCCCTCCCTAAGCAGTACTTGGGTGGGATTTGGGCAGAATGGACCAAAAGGGGTCCCTTGTTCTTATGAAAAGCATCCCTCCAGGGTTTTAATGGGTCATTCTGATGAAGTTGAGGTCATGTGTTTGGCAGTAAGTTAGTCTAGTCTCTGACTCCCAAGGACTTTACCTGACTCTTTTGAGAGGTTTGTTCCTCCTCTGTTTTTGCTTACCCCTTAGTGGTACTCTGCATCGAGGCAGCAGATGAGAGGGGCTTAAGAAGAGGTCAAGTCCAGTCCTTATGGAGCGGCTTGGGCACCGCCAGCTCTGGCTGGTTAGCTTCTTGCAGTTTGTCCACCCTGCGGCCTAGGTGGATGGTCAGGGTTATCAATGACCCAAGTTCCCATTCAGTGAGTTTTGCAGAATTTGGGGCAGCCGTCTCTCTTTTTCAAAGGTGTGGGCAGAGAGGGGCAGGCCCCTGACATTATTCTACAGAGGGTATAACCTATCAACTCCTTAGTTTAATGGACTGTTCTTTTTGTTTGGCTCTTTCTTCTTGCCTCTCCACTGTTTTCCTCCTTTGGTGTATGCCTCTACCCTTCCAGAAGAATGGCCCTTACCCCACCTGTGGCCCTTCAGATCTCTTCCCTCAGGGCCTGATAAAGGCTAGCCAGGGTTGCACGCTGACCTGGGAAGCATGTAGCCTTCTGCTTTGGATAGAGTGCGGCCGTTCTGGCTGTTGTGCAAGCCGTCCCGAGGGCCTGCAGATCCCGGCATGTCCCGGGACAGTGCAGCTCCTCTCTCTCAGGAGGAGTCAGACCTGTCACCTCTAAAGGCCTCAGCTCCAGTGCCTGTCCTTGCAGGGCCCACCTCCTAGGGTGTTCCCTGCTGGCTGGGGAGCTGAATTGCAGGGCCTGCCTGCCTCCAGTGCCTGAGTAGGGCCTGGAAGTGCCAGGAGTTGCCCCACTGCCCTGCACTGTCCACGCTGGGATCTTCCTCTCCCCACCCAGCATCTCCATGGACTTTGTTCCCCCAGGCCCTGGCTTGTGTCATGTCAGAAGTTCTGTGTGCGATGCCCTCGTCTGTGCCACGTTGTCCCAGATGGCACAGCGGCTGCTTCTTGTAGATGGTCTGATGTCCCTGAGCATTTTGCTGTGCCTTTGGGTCCAGGGGGAGGAGCCACTCACAGCAGCTGCAGTTCACCACGTCAGAGGAGAGCTGGGCGCTTGCTGGAGCCTGGCAGGGAGGAGATGGCCCCTTGCATCAGGTTTCAGCCATGTGGGTCTTCTTCTTGGCAATTGGTTCCTGGCCTTCATAGCTCTGAGGCTGGTGATTCGGGTGTGACTCTAGTCCTGTTGCCACAGGGCTTTGGTCAAGGACTCAAGCATGACTCAGGGCATCTCCATTTCTGAGCTGCCACCTGTGGAGGATGTTGGGCTCCAGGTCCTTCTTCACTTTGCCAGCCCCTTCTGCCTCACCCCAGTAAAATCAGCCAAGCCAGTGTCTGATTACTTGGAGATGAGCAGACTACTTCCAGGATCGGGAAATATTTGCTGACTCAGGCTCAGAATAACAGCATCTCAGGGTGTGTGTGTGTGTTTGTGTGTGAGGGACAGAGAAAGAGCCCGCTTACCTATGAGCGGTTTTTGAGTTCTAGTGTTTAGTTATAACATTAACGCTGCTTTTCTGACCCCTGGTGGCTCTCAGCTAAAGATGTTGGGTTTCCTTCTGTCCTGCAGTGTTGCGTGGTGTTTTGGGCATGCACGTGGTACTCACGCAGTGGCTTCTGTTCACCGACAGATGAGGACAGATGCACCAAAGAGGTAATCCTGTTTTCCTTACATAGGACCTCTGACGACCGACCGACTGAGGCATCCCAGATTTAGGATCCTGACCTAAAAGATGAAACAATTTCACTAGGGCTGAGTTCCCAGATCCCAGGTGCCTATCATAAAATTTGATACTCATTGCTTCCACATAGTGGGCACTTATTAAATAATTATTAAATGTCTATGGCTTATGTAGTTTTTTGGGGAGCATTGAGATTTACTCACCTTTACATGCATTAAAACATAAATTCCACAAGGGCAGGGACTTATTTTGTTTCCTGTTGTGTCTAGGACTGGCTAGTGCTGAGGAGATGCTCAAATATTTGTTGAATGAATCAATGTTCAAACTTTTCTTCTCTGTCCATATGGATGCCAGGCCGCAAAGATGGTGTCTATCATTCTTTCCTTTATGCAACAGACATTTCTGAGTGTCTGCTGTGCACCAGGCAGTGTACTAGACACGTGGAAAATGATGATAGCAAAAAACCCAGATGCAGTTCCTGCCTCATGGGTCCAAAGTTGGTTGGCACATATGAGATCTGGGCATAATACACAAGAGTTTTTTCTTCCATCTCTGCTGGTGTAGCAGGTCTTCACCAGTCTGAACAATGCTCTGGGCCACTCGTTACTGTTTCCCTGTTTGTTCTCAGGATGCCTGGCGGATTTTATAAACTCCCAGAAGGGGAGCTGCAGGGAATTGGATGTTCATTGTCTCAACTATCTGGGAGGCCAGGCTGTGGTGAGGTCCCTGCTGGGGGCCAGGGGAAACATGGGCTCCTGTCTGATTTGTTTTAATCTCTGAAGTTCAGTGGTTCCAGCAGCTGTTTATGGGCTTCACTTCCCTTTCTCTGCCTTTGACACCCTGTGGGTTTTCCTGTTGCCAGACAGGGTGCTGAGCCCATATGTCTGTCAGTCCGGGGGCGGTGGTCAGGTCGTTTGTGGATCCTGCAGGAAGGCCTCAGGCAGGGGCCCCTCCTGTTGTCAAACCCATACCCAGTCCTCTCGTCTGAAGGAAATGTGAATGAGGAAGAAGGGAGATGTGGGGGGCTGTGGAGGTTCCCTGAGAGGGGTCAGGTCGAAGGGAGAGCTGCTGAGTCCGTTGCTTTGTCACTCATTCCAGCAGCAGCTGGTCACAGTGGCAGCAGTTGTACCTGTCCAGGGCTTACTTGTCCAGTTGATCTCTGAGCTTGGAGCTCCCACTCTCAGCGAGAAGTGTTCTTTCTTAGTTTCTACCGGCAAAAGTGAGGCTAGGGCTTTATCAGATTTTTCAGTGCTAATCTCAGAAGACTGTGGTTTGGTCGGTATCTTAGTCTTTCCCATCTGAGGCACTTCTGTGGGTCAGGTCCTGTGACAGATGTTTCAGATACGGTCCTTGGCTGCTCCCCTACTCCCACCCCCACAAGCATGTGGAGTCTAGCTGGGGAGAGAAGACATATGCACAAAAAGATTTTGAAAATATGAAGAGAGCTGGCGGGTACTGAGAACATACTGTGCAGGGATACTCATTTAGAGGAGCAGGTCATCACTTTGGATCAGCTTTGTCCCTGAAGAAACTGGGTTTCAGATTGGGCCTTGAAAGAAAGTTGGTTTATTTTGAAGTCAGCTTTATTTTTAAGATTTTATTTATTTGTCAGAGAGAGAGAGAGCACAAGCAAGGGGAGAGGCAGAGGGAGAGGGAGAAGCAGGCTCCCTACAGAGCAGGGAGCCTGACGCGGGGCTCGATCCCAGGACCCTGGGATCATGACCTGAGCCAAAGGCAGGTGCTTAACCGACTGAGCCACCCTGGTGCCGCTGAGGTCAACACTAGAACGTCATAAACAAGGATTCTCAAACTTTTTGACCTCAGGACCCCTTTACACTCTTAAAAAAATTACCAGGGACCCAAGAACTTTTGTTTACCATAGTAGAAACTAAAAACCGAGGAATTTTTTTAAATTACTGACTTGCTAATTCATTTAATATAATAATAAACCCATTACATTTACCACAAATGACATTTTTAAGAAAAAATAGCTATTTTTCAAAACAAAGTTGAGAGAAGTGGCATTGATTTACATTTTTGGCCATCTCTTAATGTCTGGCTTAATAGAAGACAGCTGGATTCTCATAACTGCTTCAATGTTCAGTCTCTTGAGATATGTTTTATTTGAAGGCTATGAAGAAAATCTGGCCTCACACAGATAGCTTGTCGAGAAAGAGGGGGGTAATAGCTTTTAATAGCTTTTGCAGTTAATTGTGGGTATTCTTCTTTGATACGATACCAAAACTGGACAAGTGGTAGTTTCTTAAAGATTAGCTGGAATGTGGAGTCTGAAACCTTACCAACGGAGTTTTCATACTTTGTAACATTAAAATCCACTGGTCCATCTTATACTTTAAATGGATCTTTTACTTTAAGTTGGTCACCGGAAAATACTGGTTCACTGAGTCATATAAATCTTCTAAATGTTGACATGTTTCATTTTATAATATCAATAAATCATATTAATACCACTGATCTCAACAGAAAAGTGTTCAAGTGTTGGGAAGCTGTCAAGCTCAGAGTGGTGGATACGAGTTTTCCATAATTTGGATTTTCTCTTGAAAGCTTGATTTTTATCACTGGTAACGTACCGTCAGGTTTTTTGTTTGTTTGCTTAAAGATTTTATTATTGAGAGAATGCACACGTGTGGGGGGGGAGGGGCAGAGGGAGAGAGAGAATCTCAAGCGGACTCCCCACTGAGCGTGGAGCCTGACACAGGGCTTGATCCCATGACCCTGAGATCATGACCTGAGCCAAAACCACAAGTAGGACACATAACCAACTGAGCCACTCATGGGTGTCCGCATACTGTCAGGTTTTTTTAATTGAATCTCCATTTTCAAGAAAAAGTCTGTCAAATACTCAAAGTCTAAATAATTATAATGTTACTTTTTTCTTTCAAGTAAAAATGTTTCATGAAAAAAATGACTAGTTTAGCTTACAGCTCAATCTCACAGTTTTTCTTGAGACAACCATGTCACTCTTAATTTGTTACAAAGAATATTTAAAAGACATGTACTTAAGGGTCACAATTTAATAAAGTCAGTTTTTATTGTCTCATCCAGGACAGTTTTTTTAAGATTTATTTATTTATCTTAGCACACAAGCAGGAAGAGGGGGAGGACGAGAGGGGGAGAACCTCAAGCAGGCTCTGACTCCCCGCTGAGTGCGTGGGGCCCCGACCCCACCACCCTGCGACCATGACCTAAGCTGAAATCAAGAGTCAGCCGCTCAACTGACTGAGCTACCCAGATGCCCCTTGTCTAGGACATTCTTAAGTGAAATTGGAACTTTATTATCTTTTATGGTTCTTTGGATTGACTGGGCTCATCTGGGCAGTTCTCAGTTGGGGTGTGTTGCTTTAGTCAGATGGAGGCTGGGGTAGGAGTCATGGGGGCTCAGCCGGGCTGGACGTCCACACTGACTCACTCACGTGGCTGGCACTTGATGCTGGCTGTTGACTGGAGTACCTACATGTGGCCTGTCCATGTGCCTTGGGCTTCTCACAGCATGGTGGCTGGATTCTGAGCAGAAGCTTCCTAAGAGTGAGTATACTGAGAGATCCAGGCATGAAGGGCAAGGTTTCTTATGACCTAGCCTTGCAAGTGACACGGTGTCAATTCCTTTGTCTTTTCTTGGTCACAGGACTGGTTCAGATTCAGAGGACTATACAAGGGTATGAATAACAAGAGACACGGTTCACTGGGAGGGAGAGAAGGCTCCTTGGAGACCAGCTACTACAAATTTTGAGCATCCTTTATGTGAGGTAGCCTGGCCTGTATATGAGTAACACTTCCAGGAGAAAAGTCCACCTTCTCACGATTTCCGTTCCTGGAGACCACCTTTAGTTAGGAAATTCTTAGCAGGCTGAATGCCAGGTGAAGGAATTTGGGCTGTATGTTTTTGGAGCAGTGGGTAGCCACTGATGGTTTTGGAGCAAGGAATGATTGTGTTAGTATTGCATAACGGTGGATTGAGTAGAGGAAGAACGGAGGTAGAGAGGTTAGGTAGGAGACTATTGCAGTAGTCTGAATGGAAGGAAATTCTTCCTCGTATTAAATCTGAGTTCCTCTGGTTGCTGTTAAAATTACTGATTTTGATTTTTCAGCCACACAGATGAAGTACCCAGAGCAGGGCTGGAGGAACCCCGCCTCCCTCCTTATTTAGGGGTGCTGGTACATGAGAGAGATCAAAAGCTTCACAAAAGGTAGAAGGCAGCTAAAGTTAGGCTTTATTGTCAAGGCACAATGAGAGGTTAATCATTATTTATTTGAGCTGGGGGGGCAGAGGGAGAGGGAGAATCTCAAGGAGACTCCACACACAGAGCCCAGAGCCTGACTTGGGCCTCAGTCCCTCGACCCTGAGATCACGACCTGAGCCGAAGCCAAGAGTTTGACGCTCAACCAGCTGAGCCACCCAGGCGCCCCAAATCATAATTTGTTAAAAGAAAAAGCGAAAGAAAGCTAAAGCTTCACGTGCAGCCACTGACGATGTTTTAAATATACCCCAGTTTTGCACTCATAGACCACTAGGAAGCTAGGAGAGGAGTGAGAGGAAGAAAGAGGGGGACAAATTCGAGAATGGTAGGGAGAGGGAGAAAGAAGGGGGTCAAGAGGAGCAAGCAGCAAAAGGGGTTTGAAGGAGGGCGAGATCGGAGGGACCGCTCACAGCTGAGGGACTCTGGGCAGACTGCAGAGCTGGCGGAGAGCCGGCTCCTTCTGTGCTTCCCTGGGGCCCTGGCCTCTGGCTTTCAGCACCTCCCATCCTCCCCCTGTCTCTCTGGCTTTTCTGTCTGTGAAGAGGCCATGGGAAGAGCTGGAGAGGATTTGCTGTTGGACAGACCTGGGGTGACTCTTCGCTCTCGTGTATGGGGTCCTGACTTAATGATTAAAATGAACCTCGGGCAGTGCTGGTTTGGCCCCTTTCTTCCGAGGTGGGGAGCTCAGAAAGACACGCCTGTCCGAAACAGTT